TATATATATATATATTAAGAAACTTTTGATGAGTTTAGAAAATAAAATATAACTTCAATATTGTTTATTTTTCTAAATATGACCCGAACAAAATGGAACCTGTACAACACACTGTCATATAAAAGTTATGAGATACTTTTTTTTTTTAGAAGTTCATATGCGACTTAAAAACAGAAATAAACTATGCAATCCAATCAATTTAAATTGCCGAGAGAAATACATACATCATATAAACTATTTAAGTAAAATATTGTATATTTAATGCATGAGAATCACATCATTACTGAACTTAAATATGTACATCATATCAATTAATTTACATTGATTAAAAATAACTGTACTGCAATTCATCTAATCTAAATACATTAAAAAAAATACAAAAAACATAGACACAAATTAAAGTTGAATAAGTTCAATTTATTTGTGGTATTTCAATTTTCAAAACAATAAGACTACAATATTAATCCAATTAAACTAAACTAAATTAAATGAAAAATATAAATAATATACATATGATATAAATCTACAAAATATAAAATCATTCAGATGGTAATGTATATAAATCTACCATAGAGTAGTTATTTTTGTGTCCCGTTGATGGTAATGGACTCTTAATGTACAAGGCCCATTTTTGCCCCATTTGTTTGCTGGTCCATTAAACATCCATTTAGAGACTTTTATTAAACCCACCTCCCTTTTTCATTTACACAACTCATTTTTACTTCTTTTGTAATTATATTTCATATATATCATTTCCTTTTCTGTTTCTTGAAAAATAATACACCATTGTTGTAGTATCCCATTCTCCTTTACCACATAAGATAAAACTCAAACCTTTATCTCTTACAATCACCTAAATGAAGCACAACAAACTCAAACTCAAGCTAACCTACTTTATTTATATACCCCATTTTTTGTACTTATTTTGTATTCATTTATATAAATACACTTGTACCTTTCTTTTTTTCAGAAATTAGTGCACTCCTTCTCTTACGCATTCTATGTGACATGGATTTGTTGTCACTAATCACACGAATGTCACTACCATCCCCTATTTTGTTCCAAACCCACCTGCCAATTTCTTGTTGCTCTAGTTCAAACACTTTTGTTGCCACAAATTTTATCTGTTTTTCGATGTTCCCATCAAATACCTCACCACCGTACCCATCCAATTCGACGTTCTCGTTATTTTCTTAGTTGCTAGTGAGCTTAATTTCAACATGCACGCTCCATAATTGAAGTTTTCTTTCTTCATTTCTCTTTTTGTTTGTAAACATTTTTTTTTATCGTGTTGTGTAGATAAGCTAGAGCTGAAGCAATTTGCAAAGGTTAAAGTCTTAATGCTGCGACGACAAAATTGTGTCAAATGATTTGTCTTAAGTTAAAAGGTTGACTTTAGTTTGAGTTTGTTGTGTGCTTCATTTGAATGTTTATAAGAGATGGGAGTTTGAGTTTTATTTTATGTTGTACTGAATAGGATAGAAACGACTAGAAGAGGGGTGTACTGATTTAAAAGTATATATATTTGAAAAAATTACAAAAAAAAAAAAAAGTAAAAGAAAGGTGTATAAATGAGAATGGGATGTGAGTATAACAAATGTCCTGTTTAGATGCATTGGGAGTTTAAATATATTTTAAACATACTTTTTTAATTAAACAACATTAATTGGCATCATCATTGACTCTGCATAAAGAGGGAGAGTGGTATAGGATAAAAAATAGATGTAAAATCGAGTGAAGTGAAATAAAAAATAAAGAAATAAGTTAAACCAACCTTTAACGATATATTGATTAATACTTTTTATTTAATTGATTAAGTTAAAAAACACTAATGATTTCACATATAAAAAATGATTTAATCGATTGTTAGCATATTTTAGTTGATTCAGATGATTTTAAGCAACTAAAAGGGGGGAATGTTTTAGAGAAACAATACATTTGTTGTTGTTGTTGTTGTTGTTATTATTATTATTATTATTTTGTATTTGTGATGTAATAAATTACTATGATACTAATTTTAATATTTTTTTTTTCTGAAGCCTGATATGTTGCAAACAGATGATGAAGGAATATTAGAGGATATTACTAGGTTGGAGGAGCTTTACCAAGGACAGGTACTGATTGATGCTGAAGCCAAGTTTTACTTTATTAGTTGTCAAAAACATTTTTCCCCATAACTATTATTTGTTATGTGATATTTCACATATTAGATTTTATATATTGTGGTTTCCAATATATAAATATATAGATCAGTCATAGAGATGGAAACCTTCAATTTATAGATTTCATTCAACATTTAATGATTCAACATTTAATGCTCTTCATTTTTTATTTATTATGTAATTCACTTTAACTTCTGTTTTCTTGTATTTCATAGATATCCAAGAAGAAAAGCTTGCTAGATGGAATATTCAAATCTGCCTTAGTGGATAAAGAACTTCAAGAAAAGTAATTGCACTGGCCAAATTATTTGCTTATTTTAACATTTTTGACCTTCTTTCTCCTGAATGGAAATATAAACTTCTGTTTAACAGGGATTTTGAGCAACGTGCTTTAGATAAACTCGTTGTGATGGCTTATGAGAAATACATGGTAATCTTCTTAACATTCAATATTATTTGTATATGGAGAAATGCTAGCAATACATTCTATTATTGGTCGAAAGTTATTGAAAACTAGTATTTTAATTTGTGCAATAGACAAACATGTATATTATATATAATTAAAATTTATAATAAATTAATATATAAATAAATAATATTTTTTAATATATAAATTTTATTTAAAATTAGTATACGTAAATATTTTAAATATATAAATTATATTTTAGATTTATGATAAATAATTTGTATTGTAACAAAAATTTTATTTTTATTTATTGATAATTTATTTTAAAATATTAACATTTAATTAAAAAATAATTATGATAAATAAAAAAATTGAACTAGATAAGAAAATAAAAAAATTCTTACAATCCTTCTCGTTGAAGGAAAGGTCTTAAAAATACTCTGGTGCAAGATAGAGGTTTGTGTTTAATATGTAGGAGTTGATTACAAAATCATGAATAGAGTTGATTCCAATAATAAGTTCTAGCCAATACTAGAGTGTGTACAAAAGAATGTTTTTGAGAGTGTGTTGTTAGCATTTCTCTTTGTATATATAATATGCTTTCAGTTTTAGAATAAAATTTTTGCAAGCTATTTTAGTTATGCACATGTTGAAAAAGCTGGAGATCTTTATATTACCCCAATGGGTAAGGGATTGCGATAGCCTGGTCTAGACTCTCTAAGACTGTCTAGGTATGAGTTGTTTTTCCACCTAGCTTTTGTCAACATAGCCCTCAGATGATTTTAAGCAACTAAAAGGGGGGAATGTTTTAGAGAAACAATACATTTGTTGTTGTTGTTGTTGTTGTTATTATTATTATTATTATTTTGTATTTGTGATGTAATAAATGTTTTGCTTATCAATTAAGATTTTCAAATTTTAATTACCTAATGTCAGCTCTTAGGGCTGATATAAAATCCTATTTACTAGTAGAGTCAAATGTAATTAAAAGAGTTGTCCATGCACTGCTCCCAAGTCTCACAGTTATGGGGTTTAAGATGTATGTGTGATTACTTGCGAGAAAAGAGGCTATGCAAATATTGTGTTTTTACAGTTACAGCAAGGCTCACCCTCAAAATGCCCTGCATTTTTACTATTGCATAATTATGTCATATGGCTGAGTAAATTGACAAATGATTGATTGACAGGCTTGTTGGGGTCCCAGTCCCTCTGGTGGGAAAAATACAAGCAACAAAATGGCCAAGCAAGCTGCATTGGGATTTGTCAAACGGACGTTGGAGCGATGTCGTCAATATGAAGATACTGGCAAGAGCTGCTTCAATGATCCTTCATTCAAGGATATGTTCCTTTCTGAATCCTCAAAACTATATGCTTCTTCCCTTTCTCTGGAAGCAAGAACAGGTGTCTTCTTCGCTACTTTTTTGGAACAAATGCTTTGATCTACTCTGCTTCTTCTGTCTCAACTGTGTTCAACATCACCATTTTAGCTTACATTCTAATAAATTTGATTGTATATACCATATCTGTCTAATATGCTATATCAAGTCATCTTGATTATTTTTTTACTTTCTTCAGCTTCCATGGGTTCACAACAGAGTCCATCACAGTTTAGTCAGAATATGGATAATCATGATCTAAATTCATCAGATATGCTTCCTGCTTTAAATCATTCATCTGAATTTTGTAGGATTGAGTTAGGCTTAATCCACTATTCTAACATTATGAACATAACATACACTTTTCATTTTCATGATGATTTGTAAATAGATAAAAGGTGTGAGACTCGTAAGTTTATATTTATTCTTTCTATTATTTTGTTTGGTATCAAATTCACGCCATCTTTTATTTCTCATGTGTTTCTATACTCTCTTATTTTGTTGGAATTTCGTTGATATCAAACATACGTAAATATATTTGTGGCTTATACCATCGCTTATTTATAAGAAGTTATTGTCTCATTTATGCAACTATATATTGGTTGTTTTATTTGATTAAAACAAAATTATTGAGATATCTCAATCATCACTCCTCTTAAGATTAATAAGATTTCATTTCGTTTAATTAATTGCCTGAGCTTTCTCTCCTTTCCTTAGGGTTTAAAATGAATAAGTTTGTTTTAATTTGTTAAGTCCAGATTTTTTCAAACAAAAAAACATGCCACCTTTAAGATTTAGAATTTATAAGTTAACGTCACATAAATTACTTGATTGATATATACTAATAAGAGCATAATTATTATGAGACTAAAGGATAATCCACATTATAATAAGTAGTTTCAAATAATACAAGAAAAATAAGTTAAAAGATAAAAAGGACAAGTCCAAAATACTTGAAAAATAATAGACTCATGATATATACACTTCTTTTTTTTTTTTTTATAAGTACACCTCCTTTATTTTTTTTTTTAAATTATAAAATATTATAGTTTTTTTTTAAATTATAATTTTATATCTTTAACTTTCAATTTGTTACTTTCTTCTTTTTTTTACATATTTTTTTTCTCTTTTAGTTTTCACATGCTACCAAAATAGGTGAGATGAAATAAAGATAAGGAGGTACATGTAAAAATTTTAAAAAAAAAGAAAAAATATGTGAAAAAAAATTTATTAAATTAAATATTGTGAATGTAAAATTAAAAAATACAAAATACAAAATTAAAAAAAATTAAAAAAAAATAAATTTTAATTATTATTTTTTTAAAAAGAGATGTACTTATAGAAAGAAAAAAAAAAAGAGGTGTATATATCATAAACCAAGAGCCAAATGCAAATAATTATGTTTTTACTCGTTATCATACTTTTATGCTCCAACTAGAATTATCCCAAAATTTACTCCTTATTTGAAATATCATGAATCTTTCATGGATAATTCCCAAAAATCCCAGCAGCATATTTATTTACATTCTTAACATTACATGGTAACTTGGAAAATGGATGGAGACTATAAAAAATGGGAGATTACTGACTATTCAAACTATTAATTAGGTGATGAGATATCGATTGAATTTCATTTGGATGGTACATAACTCCTCAATCTTTAACATGTTAAAAATTTTATTTCTAATAAATATTATGGGTTACATATATTATTTGTAGTATTTATATTAGTTATTTACATTTAATTGGGTTCAATAAAAGTGATCTAATTTTAGTGAGCCTTTAGACTGTCAACAGGAAAAACTGATATGGGCCCAAATAAGTAGAAACCAGATTTGGCCCGTTAGGGGTTAATAGAAATCCTAATATGTTTAAAATCATAAAGATGGTCATGATCCCCAATGCGTCAAATCAGAAACACACGTCTCTCTGTCTCCTCATTAGAAGAGTAACATCAAGTCCCATCAAGGAATCCAGTGATTTGGCTGAGGAAGATCATTGCACCAAAAGACTATTCCGCTGCAACCTTTTGATCAACATCAATGGATACAGGTACGTATTATTAACATTAACTCTGTAATCTGAGACAATGGTTCTTAATATTGATAAATGGAAAATTTCTATTTAGCTTAAGAAATTTATCCCAACAAGTGGTATCAGAACCGCTGTTGTTATTAGGTTATGGGGTTCTAAAGCGTATTGTTACAATTTTTTTTTCTTTTCATTGATAATACGTGTATTTGAATGCATTGGTCATTTTTTTTGCTTCAATTTGGTATAATTGATTATACGGATAAAGAGATCGATTAAAAAAATTGAATTTTTTATTAAAGAGAATTTTTGTGAAATTGTATAATTTTCTGTGAATGTTATAAATTTGTATATGTAACAATTTTGCAATGATCCTGAAGACATTGTCAAATGTAAAAAAAAATTTGAATTTTTAATTTTCTCACCGGAAGTGAGATAATTGTGCAACAATGCAATAAAGAAAAATTTTCTCACCGAAAGTGAGATAGTTGAGCAACAATGCAATAAAGGAATATTTTCTCACCAGAAGTGAGTTAATTGTGCAGCAATGAAATAAAAGAATATTTTTCTCACCGGAAGTGGGAAAATAATATTATGTTTGATCCTTTGAGTACCACCAGAAGTGGGATTTTTTGTTTTTTTGTCAAAATCATTGTTGTTATATTATATGATTAATATACGATTTTTTTTAATGGCATTCGCGTAAAAATTATTTTCTTGAAATTTGATTGATATTATATTCAAATTTAAATTGATTTTTTTTTATATATCAAATTTGAGTGCGAATGTCCCTTTAGGACTGAGTTGGTACCGTATGTGGGTAAGGTCGAGATGCACATGTATAAAATGACCACCTGAGTCAAGTATGAAGTTGAAAACTTAGTACTTCATTGAGTGTCGAAAGGACATAGTATTTGGAGGGTAATCAATGGGTTAAATCCATAAGTGACATTGTTATTTTAGTTAATGTTATGGTAGACTCATACATAAACTATTTTACCATGACAGTAGTTCTAAATTTCCTAATTTAGGTAACAATATTCGAGAAATTTTGTGTTGTGGATTTACATCCAAATTATTGTTGGTCTAACAAGCCAAAAAGGTCATGTTGTGTTGTTAGTTCTATAAGGTCATGTCATTATTGTTGGTTTTGTAGTATCAAGTTGTTTAAACTCCCCTAAGATGTAGGAGATCTCCATTAGTTGAAATACGGGATGATACATTAGTTGATAGTTATGTTGTGTTACATTGATATTTCATGATGATGATGATGTTGATATTGAGCTTAGATTGTTGGGTGTTGAATGAATATGAAATGTAATAATGTGAGTTGTTTTACTTCATTTTATATTATTGTATGTTGAATCTTTTATATCTAGCTTATCCTTATTAATTTGTGTTATATTGTGATGATCATACTTTCTATGGAAGCAAGATAAGACTAGGTTTGAGATGCTTTCCATTGGTTGTAACAGCCCAAACAACCCGCATGTGGATATTGTCCGCTTTGGCCCACGGCCTCACGGATTTGTTTCTGGCAATGGCACGCATGCCACCCCAAAACGCGTCCACACAAGGAAGGTATCCACACCCATATATATGGCATGCTTCGTTCGCCTTCCTAACCGATGTGGGACTATATCCACCCCCCTCAAGGGAGTCCAGCGCCCTCGCTGGCACACCGGCCCGGGTTATGTATAGTTGCTTATGTATAGTTGTGATTGACTGGATGAATATACTATGTATATCACAAGGAAGGTATCCACACCCATATATATGGCATGCTTCGTTCGCCTTCCTAACCGATGTGGGACTATATCCACCCCCCTCAAGGGAGTCCAGCGCCCTCGCTGGCACACCGGCCCGGGTTATGTATAGTTGCTTATGTATAGTTGTGATTGACTGGATGAATATAATATCTTTTGTACCACGTGATACTTGGTGGGTAGATTCTGGTGCTCTACTCACATTAGTGTATCCATGCAGGGTTGCCTTTGCAGCCGACCGCCAAGTGATAATGAAAGATTTATATATGTGGGTGATGGCAACAAGGTCATAGTGGAGGTTATTGGAACATTTAGATTACAGTTAAAAATTGGATTTCATTTGGATTTATTTGAGACATTTGTTGTTCCGTCTTTTAGGTGGAATTTAATTTCTATTTCTAGTTTGGACAAATTTGGTTTTTCTTGTTCATTTGGAAATAATAAATTTAGTCTCTATCAAAATTCAAATGTTGTTGGTTTTGGTTCTTTAATTGATAATTTATACTTACTAGATATAGTTAGTTCCAATAAAGAAAATTTTAACATTGATTCTCGTGGTACGAAGCGTAAAATAAATGAGAACTCAACCACCTTATGGCATAAGCGTTTAGGCCATATCTCTAAACAGAGAATTCAGAGACTTGTGTCGGATGAGATTCTTGAACCCTTTAACTTGTCAGACTTTGAGGTTTGCGTTGATTGTATTAAGGGTAAACAAACAAATTCTAGAAAATTAGGTGCCGAAAGGGCTAAGGATGTTTTGGAATTGATTCACACAGATATTTGTGGACCATTTCCTACGACATCTTGGAATGGACAAAAATATTTCATTACGTTCATAGATGATTACCTATTTTTAATTCATGAGAAGTCTCAATCCCTAGATGTTTTCAAATCTTTTAAAGCTGAAGTTGAGCTTCAACTTTGAAATTTTATCTCAATTTGGTCCCTAATAAATTGGTTGATTGCAATGTCGGACTTCCGTCCAAATTATTTAAACGGAGTTAACTGTTGGCCACATGAATGTCATGTAGATGCATAGGTGGATGCCATGTGGATGCCAAATTTCTTGAAAACACCTAGAACCAGAACGGTCCATTCTGAAACCAGAACGGGCCGTTCTGGGTGCACTCTTGGTGTGTTAATTTTGCATCCGGAACGGCCTGTTCTAGGTACAAAATTAACACACTAAGAGTGCAACCAGAACGGACCATTCTGATTTCAGAACGGGCCGTTCTGGTTCCAGAATGCCAAACACAAACGGTCAACAATTATAGTTCACGGTTGGGATCGTGGAAGGAAAAAAACCCAAGGTACAAAGCATTTCAAACATTGGATTTGGTAATATTGTCAATGGAAATCGATAACTTCAATTGCTAAACAGTTGGACTGTATAGTATATCATTAAGGACAATGCAGTGTATCACTAAAGACAATGGTAGCAGATTTTATTTCATTGTTAGTCAAACTGGAGTGAACCACTTACTACCAAATTGACACTATACAGTAAATGATGAAATGACATGGTATTTTTTTTTGAAGTCATTAACGATGTATCCCGATAACAACATGTTCTTGAGGAGGTACAAC